GGGTGTTTACCATCACCCATGGAACCCCCATTTAGGGGGCTGTATACCCAACGACCAACAAACATTGGGGGCTGGTCCAGATGATGATCCGTGACTCTGGCGTCGTTCAAGAAATGATGGGGATCTATACTAAACATTAGTGTTTTTGACACATTTTAAATCGGACGTTTCTTTTAAATGGGGATCTATAAATGGGAATCTATACTAAGCATGTGTTTGTTTAGTTTTGTTGTTCAACATTGTAGACAATTTTTTTTCAAGGGGACAGGTCTATATCAAGACACTGGAACTGGACAGCTATTTAGGCTGCTGGCTCTAGGTCTTTATTGCAATCAATGACCAAATCTGGCAACGCACTGAAACACATTAGATATACTGTATATATCTCTCTATATATATATTTGATGTTTTGCCATTTTAAATCTTAACGTGAAAAGAGACATTGCATGGTATTGCGCAGTGCCAAAGAAGACATCGTAATTGCAAACCCAGTGTGGAGACTGGTTCGTACAGCGAAGCTGTTTTCAGTCGAGACTTTTTTTGGCTCCAGCATTTTCCCTCAATGTCGGGTTGTGGAGATTCACGCGTGTGTTCAGCTTCTTGCCTTCAACTGTGCCTTTTGGAGTTTTGGCAAGCCATGATATTTCCCCACCATGACTGGCGGTTCTGGTTCTGTGTGTTTCTGGACACACATGCACAGATCTTTCGGCCTAGTCTGCTTCATGTCTGTGATCGATATGCATTTTTGGTAGACGCGTCTCTATTCATATTGGGGGCAAGTCAAAAGAGGAGGTCTGGAACAAGCTCCGGGACCACACCCGTTCCACACCCCTGTTCCATACCCCCGTTCCATACCTCCTTGAAGGATCGATCCGTTCCATACCTCTGTTCCATACCTCTGTTCATCTCTGTTCCATATATATATATTTGATTATGTGCAATCTGATTTTACATTTGTACGCACATATTTGAGCGCGCGTACATACATGAGTGCATACATGCAAGAATACGTTTACTATGCCCAAGCCCTGTGATTGTGTTGGCAAGTCTGTGCCTGCAGCACTTACAGCTGCTACCTACTTTGTTGTGTGATGGTAGGGATGTGCTTGGCTGCTGCCAGCTGACAGTCTAAGAATGGATTGCTTGTAACCCTCCCTCCCTCTCAACCTGTGGCAGGTTTGTGCCTGCACCACCTCAAGTTGCTGCAGGCTGTGGCACAGCTGTGGTGTTTGATTGTAGAGATGCGCTTGGCTGCTGCCAGCTGGCAGTCTAAGAATTGCTTGCGGCGCTATTCTCGCTTCAAACTGCGAATTTTGGTAAAGATATGCTGCGTGGTGGCAGTGCTGTGCTGGAGTGGGCCGTTTCGCTCCAGACCCCGTTCCATACCGTTCCATACCCGTTCCAGACCTCGACCACCATGTACCACCCCTGACCCACTGGTGAACACATGGCAGGTTCTCACATAGACTGCTCGTAAGCCATCCTTTGCGCGTGGGTTATGGGAGGGTAGAGTCTTGCTATGCAGGGACACAATCTATCCCATAGGGACCTCTGAGTTTTAAGAGTAGGGGGTGGAACCTGCGTGACAGGTCTGAAGCTGAGTCGTCAGCTTCACATGGTAGCCAGTGGGTGACACTGGCTACCGGTCGTGTCGTATCTAGTGCACGAGCACTAGCCATGCAAGGCAAACCTGCGCTGAACAGGTATACAACAAGGATGTCGTGCAGATGAGGAATAGCTTCAACGTGCATATCCTTGAGAGGTATAATATATATGTTACATATAATGTATATATATACATATACATTTATTTGTGTATTAGCCTATATTTCATCACACTCCAAAGGTCTGGAACAAGACCAGTTACGAAGCCCCTTCGTTCCATACGTCCGGAACACCGCGGAACGTTCCATACACAATTTTGACTCGGGACATCTCGGGACCATATATGCGTTTATATGCGTTTATATGCGTTTATATTCATTTACATTTGTATGGTTTGTTCATGTTGTATGTACATGTATATACATGTATATACATGTATCTACTGCGTTTTAAGAATCCTTAATTATATGTAAACATTCATCGCCTAAGCAATCAGCATCTTTTGTCGCACAGTCAGGCTGCGGAATCAGGCGTCCTGTTCCTTAAGCATTCAGCGTTTCAAACCTGCGGTTCTGTAGGAGGGCAGATGCACGCAGCCCAAACCGATTGTAAGTCCTGAAACGCGCAGCGCTTGAGAAGTCAGGATCGTTTAGCCCTCCGGATACTTAGGAGCACGCAGCGCTTAAGGGGTCGGTATCCTTAAGCACGCAGCGCTCGAGGGGTCAGGATCCTTAAGCATGCAGTGCTTAAGGGGTCGCTATCCTTAAGCATGCAGCGCTCAAGGGGTCAGGGTCCTTAAGCATGCAGTGCTTAAGGGGTCAGGATCCTTAAGTGTGCAGTGCTTAAAGGTTCAGGATCCTTAAGCACGCAGCGCTCAAGGGGTCAGGATCCTTAAGCACGCAGCGCTTAAGGAATCAAGATGCTTGAGCACTCCGTGCTTGAGGGGTCAGGATCCTTAAGCACCCCGTGCTTAAGCTATTGGACCCGCACGCCAGACCTTGTGGCTCCTGACCTGCTGCTTGGACCCCCCGGGGGGTCCAATAGCTTAAGCACGGGGTGCTTAAGGATCCTGACCCCTCAAGCACGGAGTGCTCAAGCATCTTGATTCCTTAAGCGCTGCGTGCTTAAGGATCCTGACCCCTTGAGCGCTGCGTGCTTAAGGATCCTGACCCTTTAAGCATGGAGTTCTCAAGTGTCCCTAAGCGCTGCGTGCTTAAGGCCCCTCACCCCTTAAGGGCTGCGTGCTTGTCTGTCCTAACCCCTTAAGCGTTGCGTGCTTCAGGATCCTGACTGCTTCAGTGTCCCTAAGCGCTGCTAGTTTAAGGACCCTCACCCCTTAAACGGTGGGTGCTTAGGGATGTGGAGGTCTAAAGCGGTAGACCCCCCAAACGCTGTGTGCCCATAGATATTTCATATATAAATACATATAAATACATATCATAGCCATTCATAGCCTCAACTTTCGGAATTTTGGCTCAGCAATCAATCAACATTTTTTCACATTGCTGGTTCATGTGTTTCGCTCTGGGCAGGCTTTTCTAGCCGCTTGTAGGATCAGCTCAGGCTCCTGTAATGGCAACGTGGGACTGCTTGACAACCTTTTCCGACTTCATCAAGGACAAGGCGCAGATATGCACAGATGACTCTGTTAATGACTTTTTTCCCAGGACCGCGAAGTGGGAGGCCTATTATTGAACATCATGCGCAGTGTCTCTGCATGCGTTCGGAAAATATGAAGCAGTTTCAGCTAGGTTGTGTGCATCAACTTGGATTTGTCGATCAGGACGTCTTGGCTGAGCTCAGGGTTCCAAACCCACGCTTTCAAGAATGGCTGGTGAAGACTTTAGGCCAGAGAGACTCAGATGTCAAGAATTTTTCAGTTGCAACGCAGCACGCATCAGCACGCATTTTCATCTGGCATCTGGTGTTTCCCTACTTACATGTGACTGCTTGCTGGCAGGGGCGCCGCAAGACCTTCCAGCCCAGGGTGAAACTTCTTCCCTGCCGCTGACCTCTCTGACCTCTTCTCCTGACCGCGGGGTGGGCCACCGGAAGTGCGCACTCCCTGGGATCAGAACCTTGCATGCAAGCACATTGGCGGATGTTTGATGACTAGTGTTGTTCATGGGGTCAACGCCCCGAGGCGGGCGTGGTTTTTTCCACGTTTGTGCTCTTTGGCAGTATACATGTTTAACGCTCTTGCCGACTGTAAGATGACGCTACCGAAGACACGTTGCCCAACTTTGTTGCTGACGTCTTGCTACCTTGACCGGGAGGGGGGGTGGGGGGGGGGATGATAACGTTCCTTTCGACTGTAAGATGACGCTACCGAAGACGTGGTAGAGGATGTAATAAAAAGCTAATGATCTATGTGAGATCATGGCAATTTAGATTTGCACACTAGCATCAATACATCCAGGCTTTGGGCAAGCTCTTCAAAACGAAGAATGCCGACTGAAAGAGCACTGAGGAAAAAAGAATGCATTGAACTTCAAGCAGTGTTGCGGAATTGCAAAAGTGTTTTTTTTGGCATTTTGACATCTTGCAGCAAACGTCAAAACATCATAGATCACAAGCATAAAATATTGTAAATTACAGTGTAAAAATGTCATTTTTGATTCAATCACCAAGTACACAATTGTAGAAAACCCACGCCGGCCTCAAGGCGGTGTTCCCTTGTTCATGCCCCCTTCTTGCGTGGTGGTCAAGTGTATTGCTCGGGCGGCGCAACTCATCCCTGTCCATGCTTTTTCCCAGGCGCGAAGTGGGAGATTGCTGTGCTGGCCCAGCAATGGCGGGACCATGACCTTATTGAAGTCTGTCAGATTGCAGATCATGCGGAGAAAGACTGCCAAGGTGGGACAATCGGCGCGAACAAGCGCACCCCACTATAGCGATTCTTGTTGCATCTGACATCATCTGACCCTTGCTTGCTTCGCCTGCCTGTGACAATGTAAAGATGCTTGGGTTACCTTGAACACGTCAGGCTATGTGAAAGGGCACTATCGTGTGGTTACCCTTTTCGTCGGCTTTTTCATGATGTTCGACAAACAGCTGGAGGTGTGGCCGCATGACATGATGGTTTTCTGAGAAAGTCCTTGCCATTTGTTCATGTTTTCTTTGGTAAAATGCTCATATGTATAGAGCAGTTAGCGGTATAACCGTGGAATGTTGAGCAGCACTGTTTTGGTAGCCAGGTGCCAGAGTTTTTGAAGGCCATGGCAATGAAAGTGCCAGTGAAGTCGCATGGCGCCTTGAAAAGACAGGAGTGATGCCCAGTTACTCGAGCAATGTAGTTCTTGGTTGGAATTGACCGGAAATGCGTTGAGGTTGAGCTCACAAAGCTAGAGCTGTTCTTCCTTTTGTTTCTTCAGCAGGAGATGGTCGCCAAGGGCATGGGCAAGACAAAAGCATTGACCGATGGGCCCATTCCTGTTTCCTACATTGAGGTGATTGCTGCAATCAGAGATTTCTCTGAGAACTCCATGGATAGCGACCGTGCTGCAACCACAGCTGCTGAGCTACAGACCTTGGTTGCAACGCAATTTCCAGAGTACGCAAGTAAAATCGTGGATTGGAGAACTATCGCATCGTTGGTCAACAGGGTACCAGTCGATGCGTGGGCATTGATTGAAGATTTCGCTTTGAAGCACCAGATGATGTCACCACCAATTCCGCAGACCTGGCTGAGGGACCCGAGCCTTGGCTGTGTCGAGGCGCCGTAGAGAAAGAATTGTGTTGCATCATTTGAAAATGATTTGACCTAAGTGCATGTGAAAGTTGCATTGGCTGCGGCGTTTGATGTTGCAAGTTATTATCATGTGAGACAAGGCAGCAACACACCTAGCTCGCTCCTGGAACACTGGAGTACGCATGCGGGTCAAACAATGCTGAGGCGGCTCATGCTGGTAGGCGAGCGCAAGCAGAACGAAAACAATGTTTCATGCCCTGAGGTTTACATGCTTATGCTGAAACGATTTCTGGCAGCCCTTGAGAAGGAGGCTTTGAAGCACGGCTTGAAACTGCACGAAAAGAATTCCCATATTATTTTGCAGCGCCACCTAAGTGCGGAGGGGCGACTCAAGTTGAAGGCTGTTGGGGCATGCCATTGCTCCATGCAAGTTTTTTTCAAGTTCAAGTTGATTCAAAAGCGAGCTTTTGCAGATTTTTGCAGCAATTCTGCCCTCGAGGCGTTGAGCCAGACTTACCATGCTGGCATCACAGCTGCAATGACGGAGCACGCCAAGCTGAATGTGAGTTGGGCCACCCTGGAAGAAGCCTTCCTGCAAGGCTTCTACGATGGGGTGCTGAGCTCTACATGTAATCCTGAGCAGATGGGGCCGCATTGGGTTTTTGTGCGGGAGCAAATCTCGGTGGCAAAGGCGCAGGAAGCAATCAATGCTGCAGCGAATGCAGATACTTAGCTGACTCATGCTTAGGTTGTCACTGGTGTAGGCAAAGAGACCGCAGTCATCATGTTGAGCAGTCAACGCAAACAAAAACGGACTGATGAGTGCTAGTCAGCTAGTCATTGTGGTTTCCTATAACAGTGCTTCAATGTGTCTCCCAATAAGGAAGACGATGCTAAGAGAAAAGAAGAAGAAGCAAACAGCATCTCCGTCAATGCGACGTCTCGGCGGGCTACAGCGCTCCTGGAGGCGCTAGTTCCCCACCTGCCAGGTGAGGGTTGTTAGATTTTATGTCAGAAGATATGCCAGATAGAATGCCAGAAAGAATGTCAGAAAGAATGTCAGAAGATATGCCAGACAGAATGTCAGAAGATATGCCAGCAAGAATGTCAGAAGATATGCCAGAAAGAATGTCAGAAGATATGTCAGATAGAATGTCAGATCTGCCAGATAGAATGCCAGAAGAAATGTCAGAAGATATGCCAGATAGAATGCCAGAAAAAATGTCAGAAGATATGCCAAAAAGATATGTCAGAATATATGCCAGAAGATATGCCAGATAGAATGCCAGAAAGAATGCCAGAAAGAATGTCAGAAGATATGCCAGACAGAATGTCAGAAGATATGCCAGAAAGAATGTCAGAAGATATGTCAGATAGAATGTCAGATCTGCCAGATAGAATGCCAGAAGAAATGTCAGAAGATATGCCAGATAGAATGTCAGATAGAATGCCAGAAGATATGCCAGATAGAATGCCAGAAGATTTGCCAGATAGAATGCCAGAAGATATGCCAGAACATATGAATATGCCAGATAGAATGCCAGATAGAATGCCAGAAGATTTGCCAGTAAGAAAATGTATAAATGTCATGGTGGGGATCACACGAAGTAAAGTATTTTTTTTTATTATACAAGTAGTGTGGAAAAGCTTACAACAAAGTCTAAAAACATGTAATAACACCAGTGAGGAGCTATGGATAGCTATGGCATAAGCACTTGGAGGCCGTTTGATTTGAATCGGCTATACGCTATTGCCAGAGGATGCCAGAGGATATATACTTTTTTCCCCACATTGACGTGTGGGGTTTTTGTTTTTAGTTCTGTATCCGGTCCTCCTCCTCCTCGTCCTCCTTCCCGTCCTCCCACTCCCTCACTCCCTCACTCCCTCACTCCCTCACTCACTCACTCACTCACTCACTCACTCACTCACTCCACTCACTCACTCACTCACTCACTCACTCACTCACTCACTCACTCATCAATCACTCACTCACTCACTCACTCACTCTCACTCTCACTCTCACTCTCACTCTCACTCTCACTCTCACTCTCACTCTCACTCTCACTCTCACTCTCACTGCTCAACTCTCCACTCTCACTCCTCACTCCCCTCTCACTCTCACTCTCCACTCTCACCTCTCACTCTCACTCTCCCTCTCACTCTCACTCTCACTCTCACTCTCACTCTCACTCTCACTCTCACTCTCCCTCTCACTCCCTCCCTCTCACTCCCTCCCTCTCACTCCCTCCCTCTCACTCTCACTCTCACTCTCACTCTCACTCTCACTCTCACTCTCACTCTCACTCTCACTGTCACTCTCACTCTCACTCTCACTCTCACTCTCACTCTCACTCTCACTCTCACTCTCACTCTCACTCTCACTCTCACTCTCTCTCACTCACACTCACTCACTCACACTCACTCACTCTCACTCTCTCTCACTCACTCTCTCTCTCTCTATCTCTCTCTCTCTCTCTCACTCACTCACTCACTCACCCTCACTCACCCTCACTCACCCTCACTCACCCTCACTCACCCTCACTCACCCTCACTCACCCTCACTCACCCTCACTCACCCTCACTCACCCTCACTCACTCACTCTCTCTCTCTCACTCACTCTCTCTCACTCACTCTCTCTCTCTCACTCACTCTCTCTCTCTCTCTCACTCACTCTCTCTCTCGCTCACTCTCTCTCTCGCTCACTCTCTCTCTCTCTCACTCACTCTCTCTCTCTCACTCACTCTC